CGCGCCAATCTTGTGGACTCTCGGCCCGCATTGTTTCGGCGCATCTCGGCGCATCTCGGCTCTCGTGCCTGCCAAAACTCTTGCACGTCCTCGTACCCAAAGGCATTGCCGCCGACCACCGCGGTGGTGAGCGCGCGGGAGAGACCCTCGGCTCCGACGGCCTGCGACGCCGATGACAGGGAGGAGAAGAGGGAGGAGAGCGCAGCGCACACTGGCCTCGCGGTGTCAGGCGTGGAGCAGAGGGCGATGAGCCCCCCACGCAGCTCCGGCGTCTTGTTGAGGCACTGGCACAGCGAGTTCAGGTAGCAGGTGGTACCCTGGTTTTGCAGGCCGATGTAGGGCACAGCCTTGAGCGACTGCACCCCGTCGCCAGCGATGCGCTCAAGCTCGACAACCGCCGCTTCAACGTTCGACTTGTCGGAGAGGGACGCGACGGCGCGCAGCACGCCCCCCTCGTCGTACCCCATCTCGATTAGCGCGCGGACCGTCGCATCCCCGGCGGGAGCGGGTGAGGGCTCGGCGACGCCCTTGCAGCGGGGCCTCCCCTGCCGCATGAAGCCGCCGCTGTCGTCCATGCTGCCTTCGGACTGATACGAGCCGGCGACGGTATAGTTGAGGGGAAAGTGCGACCACTTTGACTTGCCCATCGGATCAGGGCGCACGGCGAGGCCTGCGCGGGAGGGGAAGGGGTTTATAGACGTAGGGGCAACTTCGAGGCGGCGGGCTCGGTGACGGCACCGAGGATGGGCGGTGGCGAGGGCGCTCTGGTGTGATGGGCGAGGGACAGAGCCGCCGGGTAAGGTGTGTATGGTGGGAGCAGCGTGCGGGCCGCGCCTCTGCGGCGACGGCTCGCGGCTCTGTGCTTCGGCAGGCGGGGGTCGAAGGTTACGCGTCCTGACACGAGAAGCACGCGTGTGATCATACGGGAAACGCGGCGGCGCGGCAGTGATGCAGGGGCAGGCGACAGGGGGAGGCGGCGGCGGCCGTCGAGGCGGACGGCGGCGGCGGCAGAGGCGGCGGCAGAGGCGGCGGCGGCGACGGCGAGGCAGACGGCGGCGGCGGCGACGGCGAGGCGGAGTGATATTATTAGGCGTGGCTTCGCGAGGGAGCAGGGGCTTGGGTCCAGATGGGTTCAGCGCGCGCAGACGCCGACAGAACCGCGGAGGATCCCTTGGAGCGGCGAGTATAATGATAGACGCTCCCTGACGGAAACAGACAGCGCGTCGCGAGCCGTGTTGGCGGCCGCGAGGGGGGGCGCCCTTGTGTGGGTATGCACTAGATTATTCGCTGGCAAGAGCACCTCAGAGCGCGGCCTGCCAGAAAAAGGGAGAATTCGCGGCGGGCAGGCACAGCGTCTCAAGCTTTGGGTTCCAAAAGAGAAAGCTCCTCGAGAAACGAGAGATACTAGTCTTAGTGCGCTCCATAATCCCCGCGCTCCCTCCGGAGCACGTTTGTGCCGCTCGTCTGTGGTCTCTCGCGTCTCCGTCTGAGTCTCTGAGCTATATAAGGAATCAATCAAAAACAGTAACCGGACGTCGCACACACGCAAAGGATGCTCACAACCACGCGATCTGACGAGGACAGCAGGCGGACTCTTTGGCCAGGAGACGTCTGACCAGTGACGCGACGGCAACTGGATTGCTCCGGCCCGACCGGATGCATTCTTTCTGGACGTTTGAGCGCGGAGGCTCGGTCAGAGCACTGACTGACTGTCAGAGCCGGACGAGAGAGAGACGCCACCCACACCGGATTATGTCTTGGGCATTTTTCGCACTTTTCTTTCTACGTCGGTAGGGCGTCGGGGCCACACTACATTAGGTGCTCACCTCAACACCTTGGGTGCGCAGTCCCTCTGACCCTACCCCCGGTGCCAGTGTGGGCGCTGGCCGGCACCCTAGGTAGAGGTACAGTAAGGTACAGACATGGGCCACTTACCTAAGGTGGAGGTATAGGACACCGCGCGCTACCTCGGTAAAGGTACGGGTGAGCTATGAGACACACATTTGCGGCGAAAAAAAGTTGCAATTCTTCATGCTCTCATTATGACTCAAGGGGCTGCCTTCCACCCGTAGCTGCTCAGGCCGGGGGAGGGGGAGAGACCTCCTGTTCCTCGCGGAACGGGAGCAGGCGGTCTGCGATGCAGGGCAGTGGTCGTGCCATCTTCGCTTCGTACACGCAACCACCACGCCGCAATCGTCGCCGGCGCGCGACACGTTCCCGTAGGCCGGACTGTCCTCGTCGAGAGTGTGTGCCGCCAAGGCGGGACGCACTCAGGGACGGTGCCGACGGGACGCGGCTCGAAGGGTGTGGCTCCGCAGCGCGGCTGGCACTCGTCGCAGAGGCCTCACCTTCGAAAAGTCGGGCATGGCTCCACCCGCACACACACAGTTGCGAGGCCGAGCCCGCCGGGCGCGTAGAGCCGAGTGGCCGGGGGGGAGGCGGACCAGGGAAACCGCGCGCGGCAGTGCGAGGTGACATGTGGCGCGGGCATGGCGGGGGAGACGGCGCTGTGCTAGGGGCGCGGAGCGCACATTGTAGCGCAGAAAAGGGCCTTATGAGTGGGAATTGTGGAACAAGCTCCAGTCGCACCGTGGTGTGTGGCCATATCGCACATAAAGGGTGTGGATGCTGGGTTGAACGAAATCGAGGGACGCGACCCACTTCGCCACAGACGGTCCCGCGCCTCGCCGCTAAGACGGCGACACGGCCGCAGCTCGTGTGCGTGTCGCCGTCTTTGTCCGGAGTGAAAAGTCCAACGCGCTCGTCGGTGACGGTGTCCCTCGATTTCGCCGCGCTCCGGCACCGCTCCGGGACGCACGCCGGCGAAGCACGTCAAGCTGCTGTACGGCCCCGGAATCGCCTCCCCTCGCTTAGCTAGACTGAGAGTTATTGTGCACATGGCCAGTCTCTACAATATACTCACTGACACCCCCCCTCCCAGAGCTCGTCCCGGTCCGCCACGGCCATCCTCGGCCTCCGGAGGGCCCCCGGCCGCGGCGCGGTGCGGCGGCGTCACAAATCCGACGGCAGAGCACCGGGACGCGGTCGGGCGATCTGAGGTCCAGTGAGGCGTATGCATTGCCCATCCAGGGCTATCACATGGACCTATCAACAGGCGCCTGCGGCGGAGCAGGAGGGCCCGGCGCACAACCCCCTGTTCAACTCACCCTCCACACCCCGTATGCATTGAGGTTTGACGCGTAAGTCGAAGAAACCACGGCAGTGGCAAATCATCTCGAAATTAATCTACACCAAATTCCAATCCACCAGTCCACTCACTCTCGCTCCCACTCCTGGTACTCCCCCCCCCACACCTCCTCCGCCACCCACACCTCGCGGTCAAAGTAGTCGTAGCCCTCGACGACCGGCTTGTGGTTGCAGAGGACGATTGACATGCGGAAGCCCTTGCCCGAGCTCACGGCGTGCAGCAGCGCCTGCGAGGGAGGGCACACACATAGGTGAGAGAGCCGTAAGCGCACGCTGTCTGCACCGGAGCAGGCACACCTCAAAGTCGCCAATCACCAGAGACCAGCCGGGGCACGGCAGCTCCAGCGACAGCGTGACGTATCGCTGGTCAAAGCCCTCAAAGTCACCGAAGATGAGCACGGCGCCAAAGCCGCGGTTGTGCTGGTCACGGTGGACGTAGAGGCCGCTGTGCCCCTCACCGCTGCGCAGGTACGTCCATCCCTTCTTCAGGTGGTCGAACCGCCTCTTTGGGAGGTTTTCAGGATCGACATCGGCGTCCCAAAAGATGTTGAGGGACGCGTAGGAGAACTTGAGGCCGAGCGGCAGCTTGTCGCGAAGGATGGCGAGGACCTGCGGCGTGACACTGGCGGGCGCGTTGAGCAGCACGTGCTGCGCCATCTTGCACAGCGGAATCACAATCCTCTTGAAGGCTGCCTTGGCCGGGCACTTCTCGACGGACCGCACGAGCCGGACGGCGCCCGGGTCGATCACCTCTCCCTGCGCATTCCGCTTTTTGCGGCGGGCCTCAGGGAAGTTGTGGATTTGGCGGCAGGCTGGCGCACACTGCAGAGCCCAGCGCAGGTGGATGCAGCCGTGGAACCAGGCGGCCTTCACGTTGGCGATCTTGGCAATGGCCCGCTGGATGGTGAAGCTGCTGTTGAGCTGGAAAGCCAACAGTGAAGCCTTGCCGAGCTGGCAGCTCTGCCGCAACTTGGCTATCAGTCGACACTCCTCTCCCGACAGCGCCTCCCACACACCGCCGATGTCAAAGAGAGAGGGGAAGTAGACGAGGGCGGGCTGGACGCAGCCATCCACGCACCCCGTCGCGACGAGCGGCAGGCGAGGGTCATGCCGGTACACACGTGCCAGGACCGGGCAATCCTCTGGCGTGAGCGGCTTTCCAGAGTGCCCTTTGCCCTGGCCAATGAACGGCTCAAATATACCTGCCGCGGACGGGTCGGACGGATGGAGCAGAAGCACCGCCTCAGGCACGCCCCAGTGGCGCAGAGGCCGGCGCATTTACGTGTTCAGCTCTGTACACCCACGAGTTACTTTGACTTCTGCCCGGATAAAAAAGAAAGACAAAAAACCTGCCGCCCTCCCCTCCCCTGCCCCGCACGCGCCACAGGCACCCACACAGTCCCCGGCGCTCTGATATAGGTGATGCGGCGCTGTGTCTCTCAGATGGAAGCAGGAAGCTTCCATCCCGGCGGTGGTTCGAACCCACACGAGCCGAGGGGTGACGGGTTGAGGGCTGGGGGTCTGAGGCTCACCCATTGAGGAAGTGAGGTGCTGCTCCGTCCACCCGGATCCTGCTGAACAAGCTCCTCTGTAGCTCGATCGGTCACACCGCCATCGCCGTTGGGGAGAGGGGGGACGACACTGCTTCGGCAGCGTGCACCTCGATCCTGTACCGTGTTTGTTATGACCCCCCCCCCAATGAACACACCAGTGAGGGAGGGCGAGACACATAAGGGGTCCCGTACCATGCGGAATCGACATCTTGGATTTTCGCCGAGAAGCCGAAGTCATATATGCTGAGCGCTTTGCGAACCAGCGCGCGCAAGGCGCCGGCCCTGGCGCGCCTGGGCGTGCGCAACTTTGGGCACGACCCCGCGCACGCCGCGGGTACGCCCTCCTCCCTCCCCCGCGCCCTCCCTCCCCTCCCCTCTCCGCCCCACCGACCCCGCACTTTGCGACGCACAGCCGAGACTGACAAGTGGAAGAAGATCTCGTATGTCGCCATTCCATGCGTGGTCGGTTACACGTGCTTCGTCATGGCCACAATGAAGCACGGCCACCACGAGGAGGTGCGTGCACACCCACGAGAATTCACCGTTCACGAAGCCGAACGCACGCCCTTGTGTGCAACTCTTGCCCCGACGGCTCACAGGGACCGCACGGGCCGGGCATCCGCTAGATGCGACGCGCGCTGGCCGCGCAGGGAGATTACTGGGAAGTTGGCTATTATTGCCCGCAGGGTCAGTGCCTTCCCTGGACCAACTACACCAGGTCCGCCTGCGCTGCAAAAGCGAACGACGCAGGCAAGGAGTACTTTAGCAGCGACCTGTCGGAGGGCGCGGGTCCTGACGCGGAGGGCTCGTGCTGCCCGTGCGAATTCGAATATTTGATAGAATGGCGAGGAAGCAACGCATCGACCGTATACCGGGTCGTTGCTCCGCCGTCCGCGCCGCCGCCGCCGCTGCCACCGCCGCCCGTCCCCGGGATGCCGCCTCGTCCGCCACCGACGCCACCGCCTCCTAGTCCCTTGCCGCCGTCGTCACCAGTGCCAGCATCGCCTCCATCGACGCCACCGCCGCCAGCAGCAGAAGAACACGAAAGCAATTCGAGCTGCACCGGGGTGGTCGTCCCTCTCCAAGACGAGGCAGGACCACCCTGGGAAGCCTGCGCGGGGAAGGCAGCAGCAAAAGTGGACAAGCTCTACTTCAGCTTCTGCCGCGAGAGCACCACCTGCACCATCTGCGACCACATGTTGCCCACTCCCGACATCTCTTGCAACGTTTACGTGCTGGTGGCCAGCCCGCCCGCGTCGCCGCCCCGCCCTCCGCCACCCCCGCAGCCGCCGTCGCCGCCGCCGCCGCCGCTACCGCCGGACTCGCCTCCGCCACCGCCGCAGCCGCCGCCACCCGCACCGCCCCTGTCGCCGCCGCCGCTACCGCCGGACTCGCCTCCGCCACCGCCGCAGCCGCCGCCACCCGCACCGCCCCTGTCGCCGCCGCCGCAACCGCCGTTGCAGCCGCCGCCACACGCACCTCCACCGCCGTCCCCTTCGCCGCTGCCATCGCCTCCGCCGCCCAACTCCCCTCCGCCTCTCTCGCCTCCAAGCCCCCAGTCGCCTCGGCCACCAGGGCTGCCGCCGCCGCCACCCGGGTCCCCACCGGCGCCTCCGCCGCCTGCGTTGCCACCCGACACGCCACCTCAATCGCCGCCTTCGCCGCCGGCGACGCCGCCGCCGCCCACGCCGCCACCACCGGCGCCTCCGCCGCCTTCGCCGCCGCCAGCGCCGCCGCCGCCGCCGCCGCCGCCGCCGCCGTCGCCGCTTCCTCCGTATGAATGTCGCATCAAAGTTGACGACTGCTATGATCTGAACTCGAATGCGCCGAATATAACCAAGGAGGAGTGCGCACTGTACTATGACGTTACCCAAGTCGATAATACAACACGCCTCTGTGCGCTGAGCGACGGGGACTGCGACGGCTCATCCGAGGAAGTTCCGTTAGGCCTCACTGAGTGCCCTTCCCCGCTTCCGCCGCCGCCCTCGCCCCCGCCGCCGACGCTCCCGCCGACGCCACCGCCTCCCTCGCTGTCTCCGTTGCCGCCGCCGCCGTCGTCGCCGCCATCGCCACCGCCGTCACCGCCGCCATCGCCACCGCCGTCGTCGCCGCCATCGCTGCCCCCACCGTCACCGTCGCTGCCCTTGCCGTCGCAGCCTCCGCCGTTGCCCGTGACCCCAGCTCCGTCATCGCCGCCTTCGCCGCTCGCGCCGTCCCCACTCTCGTGTCTCGGCTTCGTCAGTCGCTACTCTAGCGGGACCATCGCGGGCTACACGAGCCGGTTCGACAAGCCCAACGACGGCAAGTGCTGCGACTATGCGAGTAACAACGACACGGTCTGCGGGTTTGAGGTGCGCGGCACTACCTGCACCCACTACAGCGGCACGGGTTGCACGCTCGCGTCCCGCCGTCGCCTCGCTGAAGAGGAGGAGGAGCCTCCCGACTCGACGCACCTCAGGATAGCGCCGCCGTCCTCGCCGCCGTCGCTGCCGCCCTCTGTGCCGCCGCCAGCTGCTCCGCCGCCGTCAGTGCCCCCGCCAGAGCCGCCCCCGCCCCCTCAGCCGATGGCCCCGTCACCCTCGCCCCCTCTACCGACGCCCCCGCGGCACCCGCCGCCCCCACCGCCCTCGCTGCCTCCGCCCGACGCGCCCCCGGCGGCGAGCAAGCAAACCACCGGCGGCTTCCTCAGCTCGACGGTCGGCTACGTCAGCCTCGCCGCCGCCGGCACCGTCGCCCTTCTCCTCGTCGCCGCCGTCGTCTACTGCCGCATCAAGCGCAAGTGCTGCTTCGGTAGCGGCGGGGGCGCGTGTGTCTGCCCGTCGCTCCCGAAGCGCGGCAGCCGGAACGGATCGCGGGCGGAGCCGGCGAGGGCACGCGGCGGGCTCGGCGGGCGCGGCGGGCGCGGCGGGCCGGAGGGCCGCCCGAAGCGGCGCTTTGGCCGCAAGAGCCAGGCCCCGCAGGACGTGGGCACTGGCGGCTCCGAGAGCTCTTGCGACCACAGCGAGGTCAGCAT